CAGCACCAGCTGGGTCTGTAATAACCTGGAAAACCTCTTTGTGCTCTGGGCACACACTGTGAATACCTGAATCACATTACCAAAGGTCAAACTGTGGTTTGATTTCAATATTTACTGAACTTGTTCTTATGCCTTCATAGCCTGAAGCTTTCTGTTTAATAACAGAGCACACACGAAGCCATAACAACTTTAGAGTACCTGTTCTAACCAATCAAGTTTGGAGTGGCGTATTACAGAAGTTTACAACTTCAATTATCCTCTGCTTCGCTGTCTTCACATCACCTCTTTATACCACACTAGTTACAACTCACATACCATAGCATTTTTTAAATAAACAGGAAATTAGAAAACATTCCAGTTTACTAGCTCTATTATTTATAAATAATGTTATTTATTTAAAAGCACTTAACACTATTCTCTGCCTATGATACCCATTCTCTGTACTGCTCAGGCAGAATCCTGCAAACTCTGGCTGTTTTTATTGCAGCCTTCCTTGTCTCAGTTAGTCACTGTGTCTGTTGATTCCTGTGAGAGTGCAGACAGTGCTAACCTGAATATCTGGAATACTGAGACTCAGAAAAACCTGGCCATGGGAAAAGAAGGGCAGTTGAAGTTGTTATATTTACATTCAAGCAACTTCTTATTTAATAAGATTCATTTTGATGTGATGACCTGCCATGAAATCCCAAGTGGATGTTCCAGAGCAGCTTTTTGGAATCCATATGTATGGAGCAGAATTCATTCACTCTGAGGAACAGAACTGCACAGCAGCAGGGACACAGACACCCAACAATCCATCCACATTTCCCAGTGCTGCTCTACAAAACCCTTCAGTTGAATAAGCATTTCAAAAATGTACCTGCTCTGAACTGCACAACACAAGATCTAAATTTCCATCACTGAATGTTAATACATAACATTAGTCTTTTTTTTCTCTCTTTTTTAATACAGTACAGCTTTTACTCCAGAATTTGTTAGCAGCTGTTTAGCCTCAGAGTCATTTGGAAGGGACAGACTTCAAAGAAGAGAAGGAAGAAAGAAAAGGCTAAAATAAAGATTTATGCCAGACTAAATGCAAGGTGGCTTTCTGTTGTAAGAGCAAAGCATACAGGAACTAGCTACTTATTTGGGTGGGGAGATGGAGATAAAGAGAAGGGAGGACACTGAAAGGTAGGTAGGAGGCAGCCTAAATCTGCAGAGGCAGATGAAGCAAATACACAGCACCTTTAAAAACCAGTATGGTACAGCATGTACTAAGCTGTAATTTCTTAAAGCTTCTTATTGTCACTGGGAAGGGCATATTAAAACCATCTCACAGATCAGAGTCAGTTGTTCACGTAATGTGAAATGAAGAAATGTGAACTGAAGTATGGCAAGTTCCTCCCATGCTCTAAGTGGTAAAATCAAAATCATTTAAAGTACTGTACAGATTCTAGGTTTTCTGCTAAATTATCTAGAGAAAATAAGAATAATTTTAAAAAGCAAGGCATATTATATTTACCAGAGTGTTTCACTTTGAAATGAACATTAAAAAAATAACTCTATCAGAAGTTATTATTTCTGGGTTTAAACTTGCTTTGTAATATGTTATTTTTTCTTGTTTTCTGCTTCCTGGCTGTACCTGCTGTAATTGATACCTCAGTCATCAGAGCTGACTACTTTACAATGCTTTAGTTACTCATCATAGGATTTCCTGTGTTACACAGAGAAGCTCTGCAAGAGTCAACTGAGTCCAGGTTAACCGTGGTGGAAAGAGCCTGCAATCACAAGTGAAATGTATTGTAATGTTTTAGAGAAAGACTTCACAAGAAAACCAGTAACTCATGACAGTCACAGAATTCATTGGCACCAACTCCCCTGAGTGCTCCTGCCTTGCATAGTGTTGGGTTGGTCAGCTCCTGCCTCTTCCACTAATAATTAAGGGGGAGTTGATGAGTTTTATACATTCTCAGCCTACAAAGCTATGTGTGATACCACAGCTACAGAACCTTTAGAAAATCCACAAAGCTGAGTCTTGGGAAAACCTGCAAAGACATTCCTTTGGATAGGTGTCATTATTGTACTGCCCCTTCCCATCGTTACTATAACGATTAGAAATATGCTGAAAAATCAAGAAGATAATTAGTTTTAGAATGCACAAATGGAGGCTTGTTGAGCAGAAAATGGGAAGAATTTACGCAACTATTGTCAATTCTGTACTCATCAAGTGCTACATTAACCAATTAAACTCCAGCAACAAGTTCAATGAACAAAGAATCAATTTGTGAGCTCTGAGTAGCTGTTTTATAACAATAAAGAACCACTTGAGGCCCATAATTCTCATTACAATGTCAAACTCTACACTGTGTTCATTTTCTCTGATTTAGTGGACTCTCATCAACCTTTAGTTAGTGCAAGGCTGTTCTCATCAATAGGTAAAGGCTTTGTGGAAGTGGGGGTTTGGGGATGAGTTTGCTGAAAAACAAAAATATGGCTGTAGCAAAACACACTAAATACCCACCATTTAAAGAACTCCATCTCCACTGCCAGAGAGAGAAGAAGCCTTTTTGTTTGCAAAGATACAAGGTACTCATTTCATGCAGTGGATTCAAATGAAATAAAAACATTCTTTTGACATTTACCACCTCAAAAACAACTCGGGAAAATAACCCACTGAAAACCTCACTGACTGTTTTGGAACAACTTGAGAATCTGACACTGACCATAGATATTCCTACCCATCCTGTGGGTACAGGAATGGCTGGCCAGACTGGAAATAGCTGAAATATATGGAATCTAAGGCACCAAGCATCATCACACAATTGTCAATATAAACATCCCCAGAAGGACCAAGCAGCTCTCAGACCAGGGGATTTGCTTGATTCAGGGGAAGCCAGACCAGGGGAAAAACATGGACATTGTGTTAACAGGAAAAGGAGGCCTGGAGGTGCAAACAGCACGGAGCTATAACATGCTCTAAGTTCACATGCTGAGTATACTCTAACAGTATAACATATGAAGAGATTAAAACATTAGGATATTGTATTAAAACATTGATCCAACAACATTTCTTTAACAACAGAAAGGCTGTAATGCAGAACTGAAAGATTTTTGTTCAGATTGTCATGACTGTACAATAGATTTTGCAGAACTGCCAGGGCATAACAACAAAAAGCAAACAAACAAAAAACTCCAAACTGTCCCTTTGTAAATTTATTTTTAAATAAAAAGACAATAAAGCAATTTTCCTCCTACTCTATCAGGTCCATCAAGCTTTCAAAACAGAGGTGGCATGTGTCAGGTGTTTTGGTTTTGATTAAAGCTGATTAATTACTGACTCACTGAATAGGAGAAGAAATCTTGTGTCAAAACAGTGTCAGCAAGAGCTCATAGAAGTAACAGCAGACAGACGTGCTCTTTGGTATAAGGCTTTCATAATCTGATCATACAAATAGCAGGTGTTTAATTGCCTTTGGTCACCTTTAGAAGTTTCATTTACTGCCACTGAAGTACTAAATACCTTCAAGAATCTTTTTTTTCTTGGTTAAAGGTTCTTTAGAAAGCACAGAAATTGCCTCCTCTGAGGATTCAAATAGAAGAAATCATCAAGGATGCTGAAATACAAGATTCAGAGCTGATATCTATGTGGGAATTTATTTCAGGATATTTTGACTGATGGCACAGACATCAGAAATAAGCACTTAGTTAAACTCTGCTGTTCTTACAGGAATATATGGCAAAACAAAGCCAAATCCCCACAGGCTGTGCTATATCACACTACAGGGAAACATTTCTAGAACTAATAACCACAAACACCACTGGGCTGCCCCAGCTGTGCTGCAGAGCCCTGTAGAGAATATCTGATGAGCTTAGGACAAGCTGAGCACTGGCCATGAGCATCTGGGCTTGGCTTCAATACTCTACAGTCTAACATTTTAACTACTTACATCCTAAATTTGTGCTCTGTGGAAGGGAAAGGCTCCCAATCAGCCAATCTCAGCACAGAAAAGGCTCTAATGATCTCCCTATTTCACAAACCTTGGCACAAATTTATGACGTTGCTTCATCGCACACATCCTGACCTCCACAAGCCAATGTTGTGCAAATCAGCTGTCAGTGTTGCTTGATTTAAGTACTGTGCTAATGAAACTAAAAAGTAATTCAGTTTTCAGACTGGAATTCCACTTTAAAAGCCAAGGCACAAAATGTTTGGGAGCTGTAAATTTTAAATCGTGTAGAAAACGTAATTCTAGTAAGAACACAAACCAGAAAAATTACTCACCAAACAACTGCCACCAACTGTTACCAATCCCTCACCAATACATATGTATTCATACACATAATGCCTCTACACTGAAACAAGAATGAAACACTGAGGGTTAATTGCTAAAAAACTTTTACCAGCAGCAACAGTGGCTTCAATCTACAAACATACCCCCAAGTGTCTGGAGAGACCTTCATGTACATTCAGGCTTGCACTGATTTTAAACACAGAGCAAATGTACTCTTATTTAAACAAAAATTAAAGCATGAATGTGTCAGTGCATTCCCCTATGAAACAGAGTTTATAAAAAAATGTGGATCTGAGTATTTTTCCTCTCAGAGAAGTGTATATATGCTTTGATGACAAATGCAAGTAGCCCCACATCACTAAAATGTAACACTGCAACAGGAATGTCCATCCAAAATGAATCCACTACAAACCAAAAAGACCATCTTCAAATCGAGGCCCCTCTGAATAATATTAGTGAAATTAGTGAAAAGCTCATAATATTGATCACTTCCATACAGTTTGAATCCCACCTTTTGTAAAGGGTACAAAGAAAGCATACAAGTGTTGTGAATAATATCATTAGCAAAAGAAGGGTGGAGAAAATTGCACTACATTGCATTGCAACATTAATAAACATTTAATTTCTGCATATGAACTGAGCACTCAGTCTCCTGTGAAGACACCTTAGATGCACTTGAAAACAGGGCTTAACCCAGCTTTATAGTGTTCACTCCTGCTTTGAAGTGAAATGGCATGTGTTTATACAATTTTAGCAGTTCTAGGAATATTTTTTATTTCTCCTCTTTTAATACCAGCACTCTTTTTGGGGGTTGTATTATATGACTTTTTCAACTCAGAACTTCCACCTGGAATTGAGCAACCGCTAAAGCTTCGTTTTTTCCACACCTTGCTGATCACAACCATGGTTGCGGTAAGTTAAATTTCTTAACCTGGAGATTTCACTTTTGCTTAGGTAGGATACTTGGCAGCAGGAGGAAAATGGCTTACTTAAGGGGAAAAAAAAAGAAGAAAGTAATTAATGCTCCTGAAGCCTGTAAGCATTGATATATGAATCCAAAACATGGTAAATTAACTCATAAAATTAATGCAATTAATCTTAAAAGCTTCTTTAGATTTTTCAGTCAAACTGCAGCCACTTCATGCTGGGAAACTGTTTAATATGAAAATTTAAAACAAATACCTAGATGTATCCTGTACATATTGAACTGCATGTACACAGAATAATGCTCTCTGTTCAGAAACAAGCCAACATGACTCCTCTTCTTCCAAATTCTTTCTTTTCAACAGGGAAAGATTTTGGAGAAGCTGAGGATCTGCAATGATTTAACCATACTGCGAGTAGTGCTCGATGGAATACCTCAATGGAGAGATTCCAAACTGTTTATCAAAGATCTCACAGTAGATGGGGTACCCTTGAGGATTTATCAGCCCAAAAGCCCATCCACTGGCAAAAGAAGAGGAATTCTGTATTTTCATGGAGGCGCTGGCACATTTGGGAGCATTAGTAAGAAATGGGCAAGTTTTATTTTTCAAGTCAAATCCAAACCTTTACATTTTTGCCTTCAGGCATGTGTCAGTCAGTGTCTGCCCCGTCCTTCCCAGTGTCACCAGTCTTTGCTCAGTGCAAACTGGAAAGTATTTCTGGAATGAATAGTCTCATGTTAAAGGGAGTCCCATCTCTGCTTCCTTTGGGCAAGAGACCTGTGATCCAGAAATCCTTCACCTTCTCTCAGCTCTCAGTGAGGGGTCCTGCTCTACTAAGACTACCCTATCTTACATAAAAGATATAATATGGGTCCAAGGAAGGATTTAAATACATTTTTAAAAATCTGTAAATAAATTCCCATTCATGCAAAAAAGGAATCCAAATGAAGGAAAATATAAATAATGAAGGAGCAATTTGGGGAAGTTTGATTCTTGTGGTGACATGGCACAAGATACTTGATTTCTTTTCCAGAAAGGGAGATAATCCTTTTCTCAGCAGCTGGGAGTTCAGCTCCCTGAGTGCTCCAGATCTCCTTCTGAGCAGCTAAGGCTCTGAGTGCCTTCTCTGCAAGCCAAGGCCCCTAACATGGAAATCTGAACTTCGTTCCAGGGATCAGGCAGTGCAATTTGAGGGGTTTGAATCCTTTACTGTTTCAAAGGGTTGGTCTGCACTATACTGGGCAGACTTGAATTTCCTGGCATCCTTCAGCCCTGTGCAGGAATCACAACATAACTCCTGTGCCATGGGTTCCCCTCTGCACTGGGGCACAGATAGCCCACCCTGCTGTACTCAGAGCACAGGAGTCTGGGGGGAGTGCCAGGCTCATGCCTAGAGCCAGTCTGGGTGGCAGTGAGGACTCCAGGGATGGCAGGCACTCCATGATCTAAGTGACAGGTGAGTTCCTCTCACTGGAAGGAAAAGCCACACCACAAATTTCACGGTGAGTCCCTGTTCACGTGACATGGCTTGATCTAACAGCCATACCTGTACACAGAGAGTGGGACCTGACCTTTGGCTTCAATTCCTTTTGGTGTTTGATAACAGGAAAACAACATGATGACAAGCTTACAGAAGGCCTTTGGGAATCCCCAGCCTAGGAAGCCTGAAATCTGCAACCAGCAAATTAGCAGATGCTACACTGAAAACAATCAGTGGACAGATAACTATGGATTATTCCTCAAATGGATGTAATACTTTTCAAATCCTAGAATTGTTGAATAGTTTGGGTGGAAGGAACCTTAAGTCTCACTCTCATTCCAAGTCCTCACCATGGGCAGGGACACCTGCTACTATTCCAGGCTGCTCCAAGCCCTGACCTACCTGGTCTTGAACATTTCCAGGAATGGAGCAGCCACAGTGGCTCTGGACATCCTGTGCCAGGGCCTCACAACCCTCACAGGGAAGAATTTCTTCCTAATATCTAATCTCAACCCACCCTTTATCAGTTTCATCAATTTAATTTTTTTAAGTCAGCAAATACATGAATAAAGGAGACTGAGTTGCTAAAACTGACTTTGATTTCCAGAAGAGTCTCCTAAAGAAGGCTACACACCCATGACACAAGAGGGAAGGTCTTTCATTTGGATTACAGCTGACTGAACGACAGAAAAAAGATGGGTTATGGGAAGTTCCTGTGAGATTCCTCTAAGGAGATCTGTACTGGGATCAGTGTTAATCAATTCATTCTATCAATTTATTCAAACAGAAAAGATGGTGCAAGGTGATGTGGTATTAAATCCTCTGAGGGTCATAAATGGACGGCTGAAAAACTGCAGAATGTCTTTATGACAGCAGAGGATCAGACAATAAAATGACAGGAGAAATGGCATGTAGAGAAGTCAAACTGATGAACAGAGCATTCTGACCTTATAAATGAAGCAATGGACTCCTAGCAGGAGCAGGAAGGAGGTCTTGGGATTATGGTAGGAAGTTACCTGAAATTGTTGATATAGTGCACAGTAGCAGTCAAAAAGCAAACAAAACAATAGTAATTATTAGTAGGAAAGGAAAGACAAAAGAGGAAACTTGTTAATGTCACTGTAATAAATCCATGGTGTATCTGAATACAGTATAGTGCTTATAGTTCTGTTTCCCACTCCTCAAAAATGATAAAGCAGTACTGGAAAGACTTGGAGAGGCTGCCTAGGTGAGAAAAGTGCTTCTGTGCAGAGAATATGTGAATGAACTATGACTCTTCAGGCTGCAAAAGGTGCATAAAGACAGATACACTGAGTACAAAATCATGAGAAGCAAGGGAAGTTAAACAGGGAAGGATTTATCCACCATTTCTTACAGTACAAGAATTCCACCATGTGGAAGCAGGTACGAAAGGAGCAACTAGAAATGGCTCTTCACACCTCTGGAAGCAAGTGAGAGAACTCCTCTTTGCACAAAGCTGTTATGGTTAAGGTTAAAAACAAGTGGTTTGGGTAATTCACACAAGAAATGCTAATCAAGGGCCCTAGGTATAAAGACAGCTTCTCTCTCAGGAGTGCTCTGAGCCTCAAATTCCTGTATGCTCCTTATTCCTGTTTGTCCTCAGCTTACATTCTCCTTAGACACCTTTTGTTGACCACCAGGTGAGATATGAGACCACCCAGACAGATTTCTGGGTTTCCCCAGTATCACCATCCTTACATGCTTGTGTAATGCCCTGAGAGCCACTGGCCAACAGAAAATGTATTAAATGTGTAAAGACCACATTCCACAGCACAAGTTCCTTATCAGTCTCGTTTTGCAGTTCCTTCCACGTAGCACATGTTCAGGAATCTGTATTTTCATTTCAAAAGGACATTTGATTTTTAAATCATAATTTTTGCTAAACTTTTTCTCTAGGAGCCTTTGAAAGAGTATGCCGCTATATGGCCAAAAGATGCAACTCAGTGGTTGTGTCTGTTGGGTAAGTGCTATTTTGCCACAGAAGTATTTATGGGAATACAGCTCTCAGTTGAAACTCTTCTGAAAAATACGCTGAAAATATCTACTCTTTTAGATTACATCCCTATTTTTCTCTTAAACCTTTCATTTACTGTAGAAATATGCTTATAGACAACATATTCTAAAATAGCTGTAGCATCATTAGTTTGGCCTTCCAATCTACATTAGTTAAACCCAAATATAACCTTTAAAATTAGGAAAAAAAGTCTGCATAGCTACCACAGCAACTGCAAACAACACAAATTGAGTGTTTATGACTCCACTGACAATAACCACAGTCTTTGACATTTCAGGTACCGTCTGGCTCCTGAACATCCCTACCCAGGGCAATATTTTGACTGTCTCAGTGCCACCTTATACTTCATGAGGAATTTAGAAGAATATCACGTGGATCCTGGTCGCATCATCATTAGTGGTGACAGCTGTGGAGCTAATTTTGCTACTGTTATTTGCCAAATACTGCTAAATTACAGAGATCTGCCAAAAGTACGTGCTCAGGTCCTACTTTACCCAGGACTCCAGGGGCTGGATTTCCACTTGCCCTCCTACCAGCAGAACGCTTTCGTCCCCATGTTGTCCCGGAAGATGATCGTCTACTTCTGTTTTCGTTACCTTAACAGAAAACCCACATTTTGGAAAGATGTTCTACAAAACTGCCATGTTCCTGATAGTATGAGACACCAGTATAAAAAATGGGTAAGTGCTGACCTTATTCCTGAAGAATTTAAGGTTAGAGGCTACGTACCACCAAAACCTGCATCATATAAACCTGAAGTCCATGAAGCTGTCAAAGAAATTTTAGCAGTAACATTTTCCCCACTTTTAGCTGAAGATTCCATTATTTGCCAGCTCCCTGAGTCCTACATTGCCACCTGTGAGTTTGATGTGTTGAGGGATGATGGTCTGTTATACAAGAAGAGACTAGAGGAAAATGGTGTTCGAGTGACTTGGTATCATTGTGAGAATGGCTTCCATGGAATTTTAGCCTTTTTTGGCTATGGGATTTTTTCCTTTTTATCTGGAAATAAGATAATGGACAGTATTGTGAATTATATAAACAGTTTATAGAAGTATTTTTCAGAAGAAAGATGCAAGTCACGCAGTATCTTTGGCAAGGAATATAAACACCTTGATTTATGGTTTGGATTTGGACTGCATTTTGTAGTTTTTGATTTCTGCTTCTGTAGTCACTCTCAAACAAATATTAAGATGATTTGAACTGCCACCATTCTAGAAAGTATTCTTGTAAAAACACACCAGTAAGACCGACATGAAAAAGGCAAGGCACCTAGCACATCCTGTTTCACTAAAACTATAGCAATTCCAGTATCTTTGCATGGCTGGCACACACTGAAGGCAAGAGACAAGAATCTCCATGAAGATTTTTCAACAGCCCAGAAATGCTGAAGACAACAACTGAGGTCTGCTTTGGCCCTTGTGACAGACAGGAGGTGCTGATGGTATCAGATGGAGAACTCAGCAACTATGAAGTCTTACAGCAGACACTGAAATTGCAGCCATTAATTTAATTTCCAGGTTTAGTCTCTACAAAAACTACACTGCTCCAGAAATAGGGAAGTCAAAAGGAAGGCTCCTGTCTGTAGCAGAAATCCTAAACTGGCACTAGCATGAATTTGATTTTGTTTGTGATCGGAGAAATGATGTTTCATTTTGGAACTTCATTCTCAAACTGGAATCCCTGAACTTCAATGAGTGTGTGGTTGTCAGAGAAGTGCAGAGGTGAGACTTTTCCATAACCCTTTTTTTCTTTCAAGATTATCTTATGTTCAAGGCTACTTGTTCTGCTGTATTGAAAAAATTCTGAAAATCATGTAAAGAAGGCAGAGAAGCACAGTTTTTATACATATTATCACTGTAATGCTATGGTGATTCTGTGATGCTTTCGTCAACAACAAAATAAAAAACTAGCACTGCAAATATTTCTGTTGTAAGAGTGAGAGTTACATTTGCTAAACACACACTGACTGATGAACCCAACAGAAACCCCCCTCCTGTGGTGAAAGGAACAACACCACACAGGCAGGCAGAGGCCACAATCCTGCTGCTTTTATCTGGCCACATCTGTGCTGTGGTCAGTAATTAACCTACCAAACAACTGGATATAACCACACTGTGCTATAACTGTGAAAACACAATACAAACTGAAAGTCCACAAACACCACTGGATGGACTATTTTTTTTCAAATCTGGGCTTTTGCTGATTTTTGAAACAAGATTTCCTTCTACTTCAGAATATTTTATGATGACCATGTGCCCTATTAAAAACACTCAACTTCCCACTAGAGAAATTTTGTAACTAAAATGACACAGTACTTTCCCCAATCACTTATAACTTGACTTTACAACAACAACATCAAACACCAAACAAAAAAAAAACCAACCCCCCCCCCAATGCTACCTAATAAAGATTTTTTACCCCTTTTCTTTCCCCGTGAACTTGCAATTTATATGTTCTGACATCCTAGCTGCAGACTTAGATTCACAATTAATTCATTTGCATCATTTAAAGTACACCTTCTCTACATTAGCACAATCCTGCTCCTCAGCAAGAACAAGATAAAGCAGTTTGGTTCAGAACTCTTTAATCACTGGTTATCTTAAGTTATTCTAAGCTGTATTCGTTGCACATAGAGCTACTGAAAGTTACCTGCAACAGGGGTCACCTAGCCATGAATCTACAGTCAACCTCCTGTGGCTTTTTAAAAGCATGTTCTTCTGTTAGAAGAGAGCACAAATACTAAAAAGAACTGAGATTTGGGTAATGACAGAATTTTCTAAGTGCATCTTTCCAGCGAGCACTGGTGACAATCCCTTTGGCCCTTCTGAGTGACAATCATCACCTGCAGGTTCCCACTCCCGAGGAAACTCTTCAGATGGGTGTTTCATAGTGTCACAAACTCAGCACACAAATGCCCTCTGTCCATTTTCCACCTCCAACTAATTTAATATTAATGCTGTTCATTCGTAACACTCTTCTCCCAGCTAAGCACTGTTTTTTTGCAAAAATTCCAAAATGCTGCTGGCATAGATCTACTAACAAATCAAGGACTTTGACCAGCTTATCTTTTGTGAGATAACAGGAATGGGGGGGAAAGAAAGTGGGAGAGGGAAAGATACCCGCTAATATATTTGTGAAAGGGAGAAGAAAGGTTTTTACTGGAGCAAACAAAGAACAGGAAGATTAGCAAAGAATCAGGAAGTAACGAGACAAATATATATTGGAAAGTCAAATCAAAGACATGTCAGATCACTGCAGTTCAGTAAAATGGCAGTTCTACTCACAGTGCTGGTGTTATTCTTAGCTGGTTTTCTTGCTTCATTTATATTGTTGGTCATAGGAGCAATTAATTTTGATATTTCCAACTCTGAAATTCCTCCTGGAGTGAATCAGCCTGCAAAGCTCCGAATCATTCATATAATTTTAATATGCACAGCTGTGGTGGTAAGTGAACCTGGTGTGATTTTTGGGGGAAGAACAGAGAACCTGTAGATTTTAAACTTACTCCCGTGCTAGAAGCCTGCATGGAATTCTGTTCTGGAGAGGAGAGCAGGGCATTGCTATCATGCTGCATGTTTTATTGAGCTGAGTGTTGCTAAAGAAACTTTTGCCAGACTTCTGACACTGCACTGCTCTAATCCAGTCCTGCCCAGCTCTATCTTAGGTGGTACCTAAATGCTGCCTTAACACAAGTGTGTGAAAGTCTGACTGTGCTTCTGCCCTGACTCGAGCTGACCTAGCAATGATTTGATTTATAATGTTTATCCAGGTAGGATCATTTGTATTTCCATTCTTGGTTCAGATGTCTCTGGCTTGTGCTTTCAAGATTTTGTGGGCATGGGGATGAGAATTCTGTATTTATTTTGAATATGAAGTGAGAAGCTGAACATTTCAGAATTGACCTTGGGAAGGAAAAGTTTGTCACACGAGTGACAAAATTAGGTAACGTTGCCCAAGAGGAGCTGAAGGAATTCTTCTGCCCAAAGCACATTTATATAACTCCTGTAGCAACTGAGCAGGATTGTCTGATGGGAATGAGGGGCTCTGACCAGCCCAGCTTCTCCAGGTGAAGCAGCTTGTAAAAGCGTGGGAAGGTAATCAGTCTCCAAGAGCAGCACTCAGCATCTGGTGAGCTCTGCTGACAGAGGAACTCACTGATTCACAGCTATTTCTATGTAATGATAGGTGTAGAGACTCTCTGATGAGACATGGCATTAGACAGGAGGTAACAGAGGTTGTGCATATATTTACTAAATTAATTTAATGGAATATCTGCAAAGATAAACAAGCTATTTAAAATTTAAGAAGGAAAACAAAGAGAAAAAAATTCTCTGTCAGAAATTCTAATTATGGTCAACCACAATAAAGAATGCTAGATATATATGCTTTGGCTGCATAGAAGTTGTAATTAGAGATTACATCACTTAAGCAGCTGGAAAAGCAAGTTCTCTTTTAATCATCAATCCACTGCCCACCATAAACCAGCATTGCATGCTGCAATGTAAGCAACACAGGGTGAAAGAAAACAAACAAGTTGAATGTAAAAGTTAGAATATCCTTGGTATTGTTCCATTCCTGCTAGGAAAATAGCAAATACAAAATAATAAATCATTTTATCATACAACTGGAGACACTAAGACTAGTTTCTGTAAACAATTAAAATCAATACATTGCAAAATGTCTTAGTTTCTTCAAGAAATCTTTCCTCAAGATCAGGCATGGAGAATATTATAAATATCTGGAATTGCTGAAAAAAGGCCTTTTGTAAATAAATATATTGAGAATCTGATGATATGCCTTTTATTTATGCAATGTTATGTTGGAGCACTAGCTCTGATTTGTATAAATTTTCTGGTACCTGGCATGAATATCCCTATGGCACAGAGAATGAACAGAAGTTCATTCCTACTAAATATGTCAGGATCTTCTTGTCAGTGCATGGCACACATCAGTGAGACTTAGGAAATGGATCAAAAAGCAATTATCAAACATATTCTTAACTTAGTCAACTCTACTTTGGGCAAGTGCCTGTACCATGAAAATCAGCACCAGAATAATAATCTTTTGCTATGTTTCCACATCATCTTGGGGGGAAGGATAGAATAACCAGTGAAAACTAAACTTGCTTTCAATGTTAGGTAAGGGACCTGCTGAGGAAGCAGAGGATTCCATCTCACCAGTCTGTTAATGTTGCATTGTTTGGGGTTCTGTTCTTCGTTCACGTAACCCTCTCATAAGCCCTCCTGATGCTGCTGTTACTTGTTCAGTTTTCTCCTATACCTGTACAACTACTCATTAGTTTATTACTGCACTAAAAATACATGACTTAGGCACCATGAGTTTACTGTCCACACAGCTCCTTTGGAAAATACAGGGTCTCTCGAGTGACCTCTCTGTTCTCTTTGCCTTTGAACAGGGAAAGATTTTGGAAAACTTTGGCATCTGCACTCAGGTGAGCTTTGTGCGGTACATGCAAGGAAGAAAGTCTCTGGGGGCAGACCCAAAGCTCTTCATCAAGGATCTGTGGTTTGAGAAAGTGCCTGTAAGGATCTACCAGCCTAAGGCTCCATCTGCCAGCCAAAGGAGAGGAGTTGTGTTTTTTCACGGAGGAGGATGGGTATTTGGAAGTCTTGGTAAGATATCTACCAGAAATATTTCAGTTAAAGAACTACATACTTCATAAATAGTAAAGCTGGTTGTTTCTTGATCTGTAGCAGTTGCAATCTTTGAATATAACCACAGGTTCAGTCTTGTAATTCTTGCTGCCAGAAGAAGGCATCTTCTGTGGATCACATGGTTTTTCTTACAGGACAATGATATAAGGGGAAAAAATACTGAAATAGGAAGATGAGGAGGTACAAAAGAGGAGCTTTGTAGGAAGCAGCAGGAAAAAGTAGAGAGCATTTCCTTCTTGAAATTATTTAATTTCTCCAATAGATAACATCTCTTCTCTGGTGAGAAAATGCAGCCCAACTTAAAATCAAACTCCACCAAATCTCTTTCAGAGACCCACGAAGAGCTGTGCCGCTTTATTGCCAGAGAAAGTGAA